ATTGTTTGACAAAATGTCATTTCCATGCCCATTTCCTTCCTTTTCGTTTATGATGCTGTTTTGGGACGTTTGTGACATTATAAGCAAAATAGGGAGGAAATGGGCAAGAATGTGTAGAATCAAGGAGAAGGACCAGACAGGGCAAAGATCACAGTCGAAGGACCCAAGTTCTTGACTGTGAAGATTGACCATGAAACTGCCAGAAGATCGCGGGCCAAGGCCAGAAGATCACGACCGTGAAGTTGAGCATGCTGATCGCGAACTCTGGAAGGGGACGTCGGTGGGAGAACAGAGAGTTTCCCCACTCTCTTCATGGGCAACGTGGGTGTTGACCAAGTAAAAATATCCCGCCAACGATGTAGTAGTTCGCGGCCGTGATCTCTCGTCTTCAGGCCGCGAACTTGCCCGAGATTTCCAGTGCTATAAATAGAAGAGCGGTTGGAGTGGAAAAGCAGAGTCGCGTTGGGGGTAAGAAAATTAGGGTTTTGGAGTGCTTTAGAGAGAGAAACACCTTGGGAGAGATTCATTGAAGATCCAATCAACCCAAGAAGCAAGGATAAGGTGCAAGTAAGGAGAAGAAGCTTGATTCTATCATTCCCATCTTCTAGTTTGTATTTTCTTCTTCTCTCTAATAACTTGAATCTCTAGTGGTTGTTTAGGTTAGATGAATCCTAGTTATAGGTTGTGAATGTTTGGGTTTGGAATGAATGAATGTGTTTGTCCAGTTTATTTTAATGCCACTCTTTCCTCAATGATGATGATTGGGTAAGTGGCCCTAATCTTCCCACTTAGCCGACTTTATGCTACCGCGTTGGGTATGGATTTCTAAGTTTAGACGGGTATGCGCCATCTGGCGAGTTTAGGATAGATGTGAGTGCATCAACTGGGTAAACTTTGCTCAGTTGGGTGTGGCAGACCGGATCAGGGACAGGACCAAAGACCCGGCATAGTGCAGGGTTCTAGAGATCAATGAGATTATGGTTGACAGAGTCCTCACACTGGAGTTCCTTTGCACCCTACAGACAAAATTCGTCAAGGGAGCTTGTTTAGAGGACAACCCCTTGATCAGCTTCAGTTTGGGAGGGGTCGAGAGGTAGATGACGATGCGAGAGTTCACTTTCGCTCTCGATATCTACCCTCCGGAGTTCATCACCAACCGCGACTCCTACATCTCTTTGAAGGTGGAGGCTAAGCTTCACTTTCCTCATGACATCTAACGTCATGAAGGTCCCTGGCTGCCAACCTTGGGATGTGAAGCTTTCGTAGGGGAGTGAGGTTTTACCTGAGTTTCGGCTCATTCATCATATGTCATGTCTTGCTCAGTTGGAGGGAATCACGGGAGCTAGGGAAACCTCATGGCCAGAGATGTGATCTTCATCTGGACCATGCAGAGCGACGTCCGTCTTCACCTTGGCCGAGCCATTCTGCATAATCTTACTTGCCATGGTTCAGACAAGAGACTTCAAGCTTTTCATGGCGGAGCCTACATCACCAGGATCGCCAGACACCTTCGGGTTGATATGACTGCAAACGAGAGTCAGCTGGATACCTACACAGTTCCAGTTCCATTTTCACATCTGAAGACCTATTTGAAGACTCTTGGGAAGAATGAGGAAGGTATCTGGGGTTTTTGGGGTCTAGAGTTTCCGGAGACCAACACGGTGATTATAGAGGGAGTTAGTCACACTCTCTTCGATCGTGCTAGTGGGAGGAGGCTGAGCTCATCTTCATCAGGTCCGGCTCGCCACAGCTTCCACGCCGAGCAGTCTAGCCGTCCTCAGATATCTTATGCCAAAGACGCCCAGACATCCTTTATTGATCTGGAGACCATCTTGAGGAACCAACAGAGGGACGCAGTGTGGAGGAACCATATGTTCGACTGCGCGCATGCCTTGATGCGGAAGAATGGCTTGGACCCAGCTACGGTTCCTCACCATTTCGAACGCACTACTTCGCCGCGACCCTACACTGTTGTGGAAGCGGATGGTGGTGATGATGAGAGTTCAGAGGAGCAGTAGCCTAGTGTTTTAGATGGCTCTACAGTGCCATTTCCTATATTTTTCCTTCCTAGCTTGGACTATTGACGCTTTCATTTTCAGCATTTTTTTGGTTTCGAATGTTGGTTTTTGGTGTGTTTAATTTTATCTTGCTACTTATCTTAGATGTTATGTTTCAGTTTGTTGCACTACTACCTACTTTCTCTCTTAAATTATTCTTTTCTCCTTTCCATGTTTGGTTTTTTCCTCCATTATCTTTTGATCGCAGAGAGCCTACAAATTTATGTCCCATCTTTATCCCACCGACTACAACATTATCAAATGGTAAACTTCTTGAAATCCTATCCTAGAATTCCAACATTGAGGACAATGTGTCTCTCAAGTGTGGGGGGAACGCATTGCATAGTTTTTAATGGGTTCACATCGGTTGCCATTTCGATTAGTCTACTCCCTCGATTATGAATGTAAAATGCTCATGATTGCTTGTGGGAAGATAATTGATCGATTAAATAGATTGTTGTGGTGAAAAGGCTAACATGAGTGTATTTTGGAACCTTGAATGCACCACCCAAATTTTTTCAAATTTGAGGGTTCCAAAACACCTTGTTCCATGCAACCTCCTACTCAATATATTATGATTTCTTAGATGATTGATGTATTTTGTTCTCTAAGGGATAGTTGCATGATTGGAGTACCAGTGTATGGGTAATTTTACTATCTTCCTCCTCTTTTGTGAGTCGATAATGCTTGCTACCTTAGGAAGGCATTGTGTGCGGGATTCTCTTTTATGTGTGAACTAGGAACTTTTACAAATGTATGCTTAATAATAGGAAAAGAGGTTCTCACGTGAGTGGCATCCGGTCAAAGAATTGAGATCAATCGCCAAAGGATTGTTCTCTTGGCTCGAACTGACCTTCGAGGATATGTTTGGGGTTTGGATAGCTTTATTGTGTCGCGATAATCTCTTACTACTTACCATCCCCCAAACACCTCTCCTCCTCACGGAATCGTATTCTAAGGACCAAAGGTATCTTTTAGCGTTTCATGAGACTTCATAGCTCTCGTTTGTAGCCGACATGTGTGGCAACCCAATGTGGAGTGCAAGCTGGGATGTGGTGCTCGGGCTAAGACGAATGTGACCATCAACTTCACCACATGTGACCTTGAATGGGACTACTATGATTCATCTGCTCTTGGTAATGAGGGAGAGATGCTATTATGTAAAGAAGTTTGCAAAAATTCGGTGCAATGTGCATGAACAAAGAGAAAGGAGACCAATAAACGACAATTCCTAATCGTAAAGAGAGAATAAGAGCACCTTTTTAGTTCATTTGCTTAAATTGTTGTTGGAGAAACCCTAGAGCACACCTTGAATATTCGTCCTAGGGTAATAAGTATGGTCCTCACTCGAGAGCTTGTGCTAGCACAATAGGTCGATAGTAACATTCATTCATACCCGTTTACTCTTCTTTATGCAATGAAGACTTGGAATGCATTGCCTTTATTTTGTCTATCATGTTGCATTTGGTTTGAGTAGGTTTGCTTGGGGACAAGCAAACACCTAAGTGTGGGGGAGTTTGATAACACCAAAATGATGTTATTTACCTTACACTTATTAGGTGAAATTGTGTTTAAATGATCTCCGATTGTTTTAAAAAATGTCATTTACATGCCCATTTTGTTCCTTTTCTTTTATGATGATGTTCTGGGACGTTTGCGACATTATGAGCAAGAACGGGGAGGAAATGGGCAAGAATTTGTGAAATCAAGGAGAATGACCAGACAGGCAAAGATCGCAGCCAAATGACCCAAGTTCCTGACCTTGAAGATGGACCATGAACCTGCCAGAAGATCGCGGGCCTAGAAGATCACAACCGCAAAGTTGAGCACGCTGACCGCGAACTCTAAAAGGGGACGCCGCTGGGAGAACAAAGAGTTTCCCCAATATCTTCATGGGCAACGTGGGTGTTGACCAAGTAAATAGATCGCGGCCGCGATCTCCCGTCTTCAGGCTGCAAACTTGCTCGAGATTTCCAGTTCAAATAAATAGAAGAGATTCTGGAGTGAAAAAGGAGATTCCCCTTGGGGTGAGAAAATTAGGATTTTGGAGTGCTTTAGAGAGAGAAACACATTAGGAGAGCTTCATTGAAGATCCATTAAACCCAAGGAGGCAGGAGAAGAAGCCTAATTCCATCATTCCCCTCTTCTAGTTTGTATTAACGAGGAAACAGGGGAGCCAAAGCAAGGCATGAAGTAAAAGATAAAAACATGGATTATAAAACAATACTGGAGGTTGTACTGGAAAACTTACTTATAAAATATTTAAGCTAAAATTGTAATGTAACGATTTTAACGATTTTATACCATTAAAAATCACTTACAAATTTAAATTCTAATAGAATTTTTTTTCAATCCGCGGCGATATAGTAGGATTCTACGGGAATAAAAGCGTTGCTCCATCTCCTCCATGCTAAAAAAATTGTAATGCAAGAAACGCGGCCATCTTATTCCTCGATGAATCAAGTTTCTTGTCACGTTAGGTGACAAGAACACCTAATTCACGCATTTTTTTCATTTATTCACGCCATATTTGCGTTATTCACGCCATATTGACGTAAGAGTGTTGCTTATTCACGCAACCAATATTGTTTAGTCAGGTAACCTAGTATTTATTTGCGCATATTGTTATTTATTCACACCATTGTAAAATTAAATTTTAGACGTTAAAATATATCAAAATAGATGTCATTATGTAGATTATGATCAATGCAACATATTTTTACAGACTAATTGAGAATCCAAATTTAATTCCATAAGATATAGCCAATACAAATTATTAGGGGGAAAAAGTCTAAATTTTCATTTATGTGAATAAATTACACTCTTACGTGAATAAACATAATATTACGTGATTATACATCAAATGACGTGAATGAGTACAAAAATACGTAAATAAATTGGCATTAGGTGTTTTGTCACCTAACGTGACAAGAGATGTTTTCCTTCCTCGATATCTCGTTTCCTTTCCACGTACATTTATTATATCAACAAATTTCCACTTGTACTCACACATTGCAAAGCTGGCACCAGCTGCTGAGCTTCCTTTTTGGTTCCTCTCCTCTCCTGACCTTACTTACTATTATCATCTTTTTCACGCGCTCCCCTCCTTCAATTCCCCCGCCCCGCCTTCCCCACTTCGTCACTCTATATACCCCCCTCAATAGCCACCATGAACCTCACTCCTCATCACATCCTCAATAATCAATATATAACAAAAAGAAAGGGATCCTCTGTCTCAAATTCTCTCCCCACGTGTTGAAAAATGGGGAAGCCTTCTCTCGCCGGTTTGGCCTTGTTGGCAGCGACGTGCGCTATCCTCGTCGGGACAGCATTCGGCGGCGGCAGCAGCTTTAACGACGAGTTCGAGCTGACGTGGGGCGACCAGCGGGCCAAGATCTTCAGCGGCGGCCAGTTGCTGTCGCTGTCCCTCGACAAGGTTTCCGGCTCCGGGTTCCGCTCCAAGAGGGAGTACTTGTTCGGCAGGATCGACATGCAGCTCAAGCTTGTCGCCGGTAACTCTGCCGGCACCGTCACCGCATACTACGTAAGTACTAGCTAGCTAGCTAGCTGTCGTCGCTAAATAATAATGATACGATGAGAGGGAAAGGGAAAGGGAAGTTTTCTTTGGAGAAATTGATGAATCGGTTTGTGTCGCTTTCCGAACGCAGCCTGGGCTAGGCTCTTAGGAATTAAGTTGATGGCACAAGACAAAAGCTCTCAATTATTAGAAAGTGTCGTTATTCACTTTATTTTGTGGTCGTCAATATATTCTATTCCAGGACCCAGCTGGCTGGAAGAAAAACAGGGGTATTATTTCTTGCTTGTTAGGCAGGGCAAGCTTTAATTTTTGGCCTCATTTCGAGAGTGACATAAGTTACCTTCTAGGCTGTATTGTATGCATAATAACACATACCATACCATATGCTGATATGAACAATTCCAAAACCTTACTTTCCTAATCTCATGATGACTTATAAGTTCTAGCTAACTCAATTCCTTTTCATGGTTGTGTGCTTTTGTCTCTTTAAAGCTATCATCTCAAGGGCCAACGCATGACGAAATCGACTTCGAATTTTTGGGGAATCTAAGTGGAGACCCTTACATATTGCACACGAACGTGTTCACTCAGGGGAAAGGAAATAGAGAGCAGCAATTCTACCTATGGTTCGACCCTACCAGGAACTTCCACACTTACTCCATCGTGTGGAAGCCGCAACACATCATGTAAGCAATAGGACTCTACAAAATTAATCGTATTACAGAATCTGATCATAAAATAATCGATTGATCTCAATTACTCCTAGATCTATCACTTTTTTACGTGGACGATTAAGCATAATTCATCGGTCCAATCTCAAACATACAACAAACAACTAATGCTTGTTTCTAATGAACGGGTTGTTGTTGCTGTAATTATGGTATATATGTGCCAGTTTCCTGGTGGATAACATTCCAATCAGGGTGTTCAAGAACGCGGAGAGCCTGGGAGTTCCGTTCCCCAAGAGCCAGCCGATGAGGATTTACTCCAGCCTGTGGAACGCCGACGACTGGGCGACACGTGGCGGGCTGGTGAAGACGGATTGGTCCAAGGCGCCATTCACTGCCTACTACAGGAACTTCCAGGCAACCCATTTGTCTTCGCCCTCCAATTCCTTCTCCAATGGGGACTGGCAGTCCAACGAGCTGGATCCCAATGGAAGGAGGAGGCTCAGATGGGTTCAGAAGTACTTCATGGTTTATAATTATTGTGCTGATTCCAAACGTTTTCCTCAAGGTGCGCCCATTGAGTGCAAAGGCTCTAGATTTTGAAACTGAAAAAGAAATACGTGACCTAATATTCCTTGCTTGTGGATTATTGTATGATATATATAGTTTTTACATTTCCCCTGTTTTCGGTTTAGACTTGGAGATATAAAAAATAATGTAATTCTTTGTAATATATAAGAGCCAAGGCATGGCTTGTTTGTTAATAAAAATTATGTTTACTCGTTCCTCACTGCAGTCCGCGGAATAATACACACATCACAAAATATATGTTTACTCTTATGATTTAAAATCCATGTCTCTGTAAGAAACGTTGTGAGAGTTACAAAGAGGATTGGAACAGTTTGAGAGTTACAAAGAACTGCTATCTACTACCAAAAAAAGTCGAACCACATTAACAAACGGAGCGACAATAACAAAGCATGCCTAGTCACATAATGAGCTACTCTGCTTCGATCACGGCCAATGAAACCAATCCAGTACCCATCCACCTCTGAACTCTCTAACCATTGCAGAAATCTCTCGCAGAATTGAACCAATCTTAACATCCTAAGTCTCACCAGTATTGCACTTCTCTATAATAGGTCCTGCTGGCCCACAATTTTGGCAACAAAGCCCATCTCTCGGCTTGATTTACATTATGAACCCATGAACGTGGGCTTACAGACGTATAAGCCCCTGTCCATTTGTTGCTGTCATTCATCAGTACGCACTACTCAGTAGTAATGAAAAGATAGATCTCAACTTCGGTGGGACTGCGGATTAGATGCTCTACTACTTTCCAACCAAAACTGACTTGTCTGTCTGTCTGATCTAGTAGACTAGAGTGCCCAATCTATTGCACTTTCATGTCTCGCACTGTCCAGTAATACTGACGAGTGAGGAACCATGGTTGTTGGCTTGCGGCCGTTTCTTAGGCCGCAATTGTTACGACTTAACCACAGTCCATAGGTACAGTCTACCAGTTTGGCCTATGGTGACCAGACCAGCGTGTCCAGGCCCAAGGGTGTAATACATTAAGCAGACCAATTGCATATTAGAGCCCAATACAACACCCTAATGATATAGAATGAGGCCCAATCCATAGTTTTTTTTCTCTTCCTTTTTTGGTAGTTGTGAGTTGTGACAAATCATTCGTCATGAGGGAGGATGGTTGGTCAATTTCGACCAGTAAGTTGCTGCAATTTCAAATACAAAGTGGTATCGAAAATTATGTCAAGCAGAGTCAAAGGTTTTATGCCTGACCTTGTATCGGAAATGCAAGCAGCTTTCACAGGAGGGAGGATGATTCAAGATAACATCGTCATTGCGCATGAGGTTCTTCACCAATTTAAAAATCGCCGAAAAGGAAAAAAACATGACATGATGTTAAAGAAGGATATAAGGAAGGCATAAGATCTGGAGGACTGGGATTGTTTGAGTGCACTTCTTGAGGTGTATGGTTTCAATCGAATGTGGTGTGATTGGGTGAAAGAATGCGTAAGTACGGTTCAATTTTTTGTGTTGGTTAATGGAGGACCTACTGAGTTCTTTTCTCCCTCTCGTGGCATCCGTCAGGGTGACCCTCTTTCCCCTTTCCTCTTCATTTTTATGTCCAATGCTCTTTCTTTCTTGTTGGAGAAAGGAATTGTTGAGGGAAGCATTCAGGGTCCCAAGATTGGAAGAAGCTGAGGCGGTGATACATATCATTGAAAAGTACAAATCAATTACGGGTCAAGAGGTTAATATGGATAAGTCCTCAGTTTTCTTCAGCAAGAACACCCCAGGAGAAGTGAAAGCATCTATTATTTCTTTCCTTGGCTTTCTAGATGCTACCTGTCATTATAAGTATCTCGGGGTTCCTACCGAGTGGGGCAGATTGAAAAAAGAAACATTTACTTTCCTTGTTGAGAGGATGGAAAAGAAAGGGGAGTCATGGAAGAGCCGCACCCTCTCACATGGGGGAAAAGAGACATTGATCAAGGCGGTTCTTAAGACTATCCCAACGTTCATTATGAGTATTTTCCTTCTTCCTGCCTCATTGACCAAGCAGATGAACTCACTCATACATCGGTTATTCTGGTCGGGCTCGATGAAGAAACGATCCATTCCTTGGCGGAAAGAAGATGTTCTTAACAATCCTAAAGGGGAAGGTGGGCTGGGTTTTCAAAACTTTCATCTGTTCAAAATGGCGTTGGTGGCAAAACAGGACTGGCGCCTAATCACAGAACCAAATGCTCTATGGGCTCGATTGATGAAAAGGCTTTATTACCCAAATAGAGATTTTTTGACGGCCAGGAAAGGAAGCACATCATCGTGGATTTGGTCGAGCTTGTGTGAGTCGAGGAAAGCTTTGGATTTGGGAACGATTCGGGTGATTGGGTCTGGGGAGGATACATGGTTTCACAAGGATCCATGGGTGCATCCTATTCAAAGGCATACCATTTCTTCGCATTTGGATCCCCCATCCCGCGTTCGTGATTGGATGTGTCAAGATGACAAAAGATGGAACATGAACCTCATCCATCGGCATTGCTCCCCTAAAGAGGTCGATGCGATATCTCGGATCCATATTGGCCCGGACGGAGCAACCGAAAAATGAGCGTGGAAATTTAACTTAACAGGGAGATTTACGGTGCGAACGGTGTGTCATGGTATTCGGAATCATCTTAATGAGGCGAACCAGCCTATGCCGAATGATCTGAATCTACCGGTCGATGACGATAAATGGAAATGGTTTTGGTCGTTGAATCTCCCGCCGAAAATAAGATTCTTTATGTGGAGGTGCATTTGCAATGCTCTGGCAACTAAGCTCAATTTATTATGGCGGCAGTGTTCACCAATACGACATGCCAACTGTGTAACGGAGAAGTGGAATCACCAATCCATTGCCTTTTCTTGTGTTCTCATGCGGAAGCAACTTGGAGGACGTTGTTCCCGTCCAATGTCGTCCCTCAGAACATTTCGCAATGGATCTTCTCCTTGTGTGAAGAAGGAAATGGGGAAGTTTGCCGACAGAAGAACTTGTTTGTCTCTAATTGAAGCTGAGGCACGAGCAATTTTAGCAGCGTGCTAGTGGGATTTTGAAGAGAGATCTCCCACAATTATCTTCTCCTATTGCAAAGTTCTTGTGGATGCTATCAATGGATGTCCTTCATCATGGCCATGGAGATGCTATGCATCTTTGATAGCTATAACAAGAATATTGTAGCAAGCAGAAAGACTTAGAATCTCTTTCATTAGTCGTCGTAACAACAAATCTGCTGATTGGTTGGCGAGAAATTGTCGTCATGGCTCTCTTCATCATAATTGGCTTGAGGTTCTCAATGTTATATCTGATAGGTTGTAACCGTGGCCTTTCAATTGGAAATGAATGAATGTGTTATTAAAAAAAAAAAAAACAAATCATTCGCCACCTTTCATTTTGTTGCCGGCTGCTGGTAAAAAGAAAGCAATACTAATTATTAAAAAAAGGAGTGTTGACCAGAGGAAGATGGGTCGGGTCATTGGTGGGCAAGTGGGAAAGAAATATATGTCAATAGTATGGAGCTAATTAATTGTTGTGTGTTACTTAGATTTTTCCTAGGGCTCCACGTAACACGATCGAATTGCTACGTTAATTCTACTCCTATGAAAATTCAAAGATAACGAAAGAACAAACGATAAACTGAAAGGTTTTCTTCTTCATTCATGATAATCGAACTAACATCATAGATACATATATATATATATATAGACAATAACCCTAAACTAATCCTAATTCTACTCGACAACTTTTAGCTTGGCCGTTACTCAACTAATAAAGACTCCTAATCCTACAAGCTTATATCTCCTAATTAATCCCTACGCCATATTAGTAATAATAATACAAATAGAAGACCCCCCATATAACATACTCGTAACATTGTGATTGTGTGAATTGAATTAGTCTTTTAGCAATTATCGTAGGTTGAAAAAGACATTCCTTTCAAGTTTTGATCTAATATATTGTATGAGTTTTATCTAAATTGGGCGCTCATATGTCATGTTCTACACTCTACAAATACAAATATACAATATAGGAAAATATTAAACTTTATTGTTGATGAGCCTAAAAGAAAGGAATGTTGGCTCTTGAGTGGTTACGTCAAGTATTAAGTATGTGTATATAATATATATTAGATATATGGATAATTACTTATCTGGTTAATTTGGTTTGATTGGTTAGGAGTGTCTAAAACCAAACCACACCACCTAAACCAAACAAGCTAATTTTTTTAACCAAACCAAACCAATTATCCAAATTAACCTAACCAAATCAATCAAATATTGCAAGTTAAACTGATTACCACGGTAACCACACCGTTTGGACTCCCCTAATTATACCCCACTCCATTTTATGGGATCAAATGAATTCACGAATTATAGTCCACAACACAAATTGGCTTCTCATCACCCCATGTTACTATTAAACTCAGTTTGAAAACCATGTTAACCTAAAAAAATTTAGTCTACTAATGTAACTATATTGTATGTTCTTCTTGGACTATTCATGATAAGAAAAAGCCTTCATTCAGTCGTTTGATAGCATTTCCATGAGAAAGTTCTCTTCTTTGCAAAGAGGTTTGCAAAAGACGCACATATTTTGTAATTTAAAGTGTTTTGTTCGATTCTTTCTGGACTCCAATTACCTTTTCTTCTTATTTTCTTTGTGATGGTTGTAGTGATTCCTTTTATTCATTGGTAAAATCTAACACTTTGCAACATAAAAATATTGACCTCCTAGTAAAAAGATATTTTTGTGATCCGATCCGTTAGAAATGACTTGATTTCTCATTTGTTATGACTAATTCCTTAAGAGTTTGTTAATTGGTAACCAATAATTGGTGATTTTGTTTGGGAATACTTGATAGCAATAAGATTTGATGTTCTAAGCAGACATGGGAAATGGACAAGAAAGAACGACAGGTTGCTCATTAGTAACTACACGCAAGCTACTACACGTATAATAACTAGCTTTTACCCGACCCGTTGGTCGGATCAATTTCATTCTATTTCGTATAATTTATTTTATCAATATTTATGATTTACTTGATTTGAGATCTTTAATTTTATATGATTCACGAAAAATATTTGTGGTTTTAAGAGTTGACAATGACGTAAAAGGATAGTCCAAGCTATTATATTGACCAAAATCTCAAATATTTGAAGTATTTATTTGAAATTTTATTAAATAAAACACTTGTTGATTCAAATATACAATCGTTTGTCGTGAAAATGAGATTTTATGAAAAAAGATTCATGACTTCATAAAGAAAGAAAACCAATTTGATATTCAATGACAAATATGAACATCGTTTGGATCATATATTTCAGTTAT